TTCTCGAGACCGGTCTCAAGACCAAGACCGGTCTCGAGAACTACAACACTAGTGGTTATTCCCATCTACTCAATTAGTCACCCTCATTAAAGACACCTGTCGTAACTAGTCACCTGTATAAAAGACACCTGTCCACAGAATCAATCAAGCAGACTCCAAACTCTCCAACATGGGAAGGACCAAAGAGCTGTCCAAGGATGTCAGAGACAAAATTGTAGACCTGCACAAGGCTGGAATGGGCTACAAAACCATTAGCAAGAAGCTGGGAGAGAAGGTGACAACTGTTGGTGCAATTGTTCGAAAATGGAAGGAGCACAAAATGACCATCGATCGACCTCGGTCTGGGGCTCCATGCAAGATCTCACCTCGTGGGGTGTCAATGATTCTGAGAAAGGTGAGAAATCATCCTAGAACTACACGGGAGGAGTTAGTTAATGACCTCAAAGTAGCTGGGACCACATTCACCAAGAAAACCATTGGAAACACATTACACCGCAATGGATTAAAATCCTGCAGTGCTCGCAAGGTCCCCCTGCTCAAGAAGGCACATGTGCAGGCCCGTCTGAAGTTTGCCAACGAACACCTGAATGATTCAGAGAGTGACTGGTGCTGTGGTCAGATGAGACCAAACTTGAGCTCTTTGGCATTATCTCAACTCGCCGTGTTTGGAGGAAGAAAAATCCTGCATACGACCCCCAAAACACCGTCCCCACCGTCAAGCATGGAGGTGGAAACATTTTGCTTTGGGGGTGTTTTTCTGCTAAGGGCACAGGACAACTTCACCGCATCAACGGGAAAATGGACAGAGCCGTGTATCGTAAAATCCTGAGCAACAACCTCCTTCCCTCTTCCAGGAAACTGAAAATGGGTCGTGGATGGGTGTTCCAGCACGACAATAACCCAAAACATACAGCAAAGAGTGGCTCAAGAAGAAGCACATTAAGGTCATGGAGTGGCCTAGTCAGTCTCCGGACCTTAATCCAATAGAAAACCTATGGAGGGAGCTGAAGCTCAAAGTTGCACAGAGACAGCCCCGAAACCTTAGTGATTTAGAGATGATCTGCAAAGAGGAGTGGACCAAAATTCCTCCTAAAATGTGCGCAAACTTGGTCATCAATTACAAGATACGTTTGACCTCTGTGCTTGCAAACAAGGGTTTTGCCACTAAGTATTAAGTCTTTTTTGTTAGAGGGTTCAAATACTTATTTCACTAAATGAAACACAAATCAGTTATTATCTTTTATTTAGAGTTATTTTTTCAATTTTCCTTTTGATGTGCTATCTGTCACTGTTAAAATAAACCTACCATTGAAATGATATTGTTCTGAGACTTTTCATTTCTTTGTCATTGGACAAACTTACAAAATCAGCGAGGGGTCAAATAATTATTTCCTCCACTGTATATACATAATGCACTTTATATATACACACTTCACCTGGAAGGTGTCGTTGTTGGACACCAGCTCATAGATTGGGGCTGCCTTTGTGATTTCCAGAAGGACAGGCTCAGCGAGGCGGCTCATCCCAGGTGACATGTGACAGAGGTGGCAGGACAGTGGGCACTGGCCCTGGCTGCTGCAGTCCATGCGGACCCCCGCTGCCATACGCTTGGTGCCTGAATCCAGCAGGCTGGCAATGTAGGCTGGGTACGTGAGAGTCCTGGGCTCCTTCTCTCGCTCCTCTGATTCATCCGACGGAGAGTTACCTGAAAGCACATCAATACAGCTTTAAGAAAGGACTGTTGGATATGTTGAAATCCTCTTTTGGGGGCAGTGTGTGGTTTTGGGCTGCCAGATTGATGCCTTTAACCCCCTGCTCCAGAGCCACTGTACAGTGCTATCACCTGTCTGTGTATCTCCTGGGGAGCAAGATGGGGATAGATGAAAATCCAGTTTCCCCCTAGGGATGAATATAGTATCACTATTCTATTCTTCTGTCCAAAGTAAGAGTTTGGCAAATACAAGTTTGCCATGAGAGGACTGTAAGCAGGATTAGCTAAGAGAGCTTCATGCTTGGTGTGAGAGACTTTGTGCTGCCATCGTTGCATACTGCACAAGTACACAGATCTTTAAAAATATTAATATGGAGAATGCATTCAGTGTGAAACAACTAATAATACTGATGTCAAACTGAAATACAAGCTTTCTTGAATGACAAGTTTTCTATTTATTCACCAGGCCAAAAACACTGTTACACAATACTTTCAAAAACTCATTCAGTCCATGGCTCTGTTTTCAAGAAAATTTTCATGGACTTAGTTCATTTTGGAAATTTACCAAAAGTTCTTCTTCGGATTACATGAGGACAGAGTTCATCACTGACAACTCTGATTAAAAGTGTCTGAGTTCCATGGCTGAAACTTTTTGAGTTTATTATTAGTCCAGGTATGTTTGCAGTGGAGTGGAAACAGTTCTTTTAGAGACTTTCTCTAAAAACAACCCGTAGTAGTCACAAATATAGGGATTTAATTTTGACTTGCTAACTACTGTATTGGACTAAGCATTTAAATCAATCAGGGGCAACACCAGAAGTTAGGGATGTGTATTTTTAAGTATGGGTCTGCTGAGTGCTTGTGGAGCAACTTTACAAAGAAAATCTGAAGCTCTGACATTTCTCTTTGGGCAGTTTGGGCATTTTAAACAGATTTGGAAGTTAATTTTATTTATATGAGTCAACAGTAACTTTTAACCTCTTTGAATTCTAAATTAAGATTATGCTGAAAAAATAAAACAAAGCTATTGTTCTTTCAATGAGTTTCTTCTCATTCCAATAGTTAAAAATTAATAGTTTGTTCATTTAAATGTAAGGTTCTTATTTATTTTCATGGCTGAATCTACTTTTTACAGGTTAAACTGAATAAATTATTTAGATTAAGGAAACTTCAAATATTTTGTGTGGGTGATTACTTCAAACATTTTAAGTTGATTCAACATTTCCAGCATTTTATTTTTTGCAGTGTAAGACAAAATTTATTATTTTTCAATACATAAATCTGTTTAATATACTGATATAATAAAATACATCAAGGTAAAACTAAGATGATATATCAAAAACAAAAGATATGAGACCTATGAGCTAGACCAGGATAGGTGGATAATGGATGAATTGATGTAAACAAAATAAGACACAGAACAAAAATATATATGAACTGAAACTCCAACAGTCACTCCTAAAATGTGGTGTGACCTTCACCCAAGTGATGATAATAGAAAAACGCATTTGGACTAATTCAGGAATCCATTTCCAAAGGTTCAAAGACTTTACATCAATATGAACACAAAAAATAGTAGTGAAGCATAACGAGGCCCAGAAGTATCAATTTCCAAAATCATCCTGCTGCTAGTCAATAATCAGGTTTATCCAGCACAAACAGAACCTCAAAGGTTAATCCAGAACCTCAAAGGATAATCCAGAATCACAGGTCAAAAACATGGAAAGTCATACAGAAACTGCAAATAGGAACTAATATCCAAAGAGTTAAAAAGGTACCGGTGAAAACAAAAATGAGGAAAGAGGAGTAACCTCATCAGCATTATGGTGAGGGGCGGCGTGGGCCATTGGAAGTGGGTGAAATGAAAGCATGCAAGGGTGTGACATTGTGTGTGTTTGTCTGTAGAAAAGAATGTTCTGACCTTCCAGAGAACAGCATATCTCCTAGGGACACTGTACTGTGGTTGTCCTGTTCCATAGCAAAAGCATCCTGCATGACCACATCAAAATGTGTACTAATTTTAGAAACCAACTAGAATGGGGGTTGACGGGGATGCCAGCATTGTGTTCCTTAGGCAGTGCTGTCTCCTGCTCCGCCCATCTAAACCTTACTCCTCCCACAAAGATCATTTGGAAATGTATAAGCCAATAAATGTGTTTTTATTTGATTTCTCCGAGTCTTAATTGTGGCATGTAACTCTGAAATTACACATATTCATTTATTGCATATTTCACTTACAGTACATGCCAATTTGCAGAATCTTTCCCCACCAATTAGGTAGTTACTCAGATTTCTTTGCGGATGTTATAATGATCATGTATTAAAACGTCATTTATATACCTTTATATATCTATATTAACATATAATATGCTTGCACGTACAAGATTCCTGTTTACAGATGCCAGCAACAGAAATCTAGAGGCTCCACATAGTGAAAATCTCAGCCAAACTCAACAGTGCCTGATTAACAGTTGTGATGGTCCATCATCCACACATCATGGCCTTGTTGCCTTTTTTAATATACAGCCTATTTATAATGAATAACAGTTAATCACCAAGCAACCCTAATCATTTATAAATTATAACAGATTAGTCTAGTTTACTGATATAAAATTCAAAAGATTTTATACATCTTTGAAAGGAATACTTTCACAAACTTTTCAGTAGATCAGGGTGCAATAAGTCTTAACAATAATAGTTAAATCTTCCCAGGCAGTATATAGATTACGTAATTATATGTTTATTGCATGTAATTCATTCCTTCTTTGTTCCTGATTTTCAAAATTATAGTTCACCATTAATCATATATAAAACCAAAGTGGTCTGTCTTTCATTATAACTAAAGACATATTGACTGATTAACCTTGAATTTCATCTTTACAGGACTATTTTGTTCACTCAACGCAAAATATCCAGTTCAATAAAAACGCCTAGTTACCTTTGCTGATGTCCTGGTACTCCATCCACAGCTGTCTCTGAACCTGCCTGTTGGGGTACCAGATGCTGCAGGACTCCTCAAAGCCATAGACTGCCTCCTGAACGAAATGGTTCCCGAACTCCTTGAGTATGGCCACAAAGTCACTCCGCAAGGTAGCGCCATCCAGAGAATGGACAGCCGAACTGAATGCTGTCAGATGAGAGACATATTTCTTAACCCATAACACCAAACTGCATCCTAGTACTATCGACTGCTTATGTTGTACTGCCTCATTACAATATAGCCACAAATTACATCAAAAGCAATTCCAAAAATACTGCAAAAAAGCCTCTATGCCTTTAAAATGTTAAAGTAAAACTCACAATACAGTGGTCTCTACACTGGTAGTGTTTAGGATATTTATTTTCAGGGTTAAGTTGGATCTCTGGAATACATGAAACATTATCCATATCGCAGAAAACAATAAAAAAAAATAAACAAGATGTTGCTCCCATGGCCCTAATTAAGATCAGCAATTGGAAAATGTATAGTTGGACTAAGCTCTACCTATATTATTTATCTGATAAAATCTCAAATAATAACATATACTGCATCAAAATTATTATTTTTTTCATTTATTATTAATTTATTATTTTCTTTAAGTACCTTGAGTTTTGTTTCCACCTATTTATACAACTGTTGTAACGTAATTGGATGCAGATTATTACAATTACTAGAGATGCAGGAGCAATTCAGTATAAAACAGGCATATTCATTAAAAAGATGCTTTAACATTTCTTTTGAATCTGCTAAACTCCACCTGGAAATTAATTACATCCACAACAAACAATTATTGTCCAGAAGGCTAGATTGTATAATTATAATAATCAGTGAGTTCTTCTTCTCTGATTGTTTTATATGGATGTTACACCCCAAGTATGTGCATATTAAAGGCATCAGACTTCACTCTGCCACTAATTAATACAGTAATATGTTGGGGTAAAGTGTAATTCTGTCAGAAGTCACTAACATCATAGACTGGTTTGGCTGGCTCATGACTTCATGCTTTGCACTGATAGAAAATCCATCACACCCGCTGTCAAACACGGGCAACTCCTTTAACTTACCCTGGGAAAGCGCCCATTGATTTAGTTTGACATGGTACAAAATGGACCTCAACCTCCACTGCTGTACCAGGGGATATCCAGACACTTCACTGTAGTTTACCATACCTGCAGTATAACAGAAAAGACAAAGAGGTTAATTGGAGATAGAAAAAAATGTTCTAATAAATTCACTGAGTTACCTAAGGACAGTGGGATCATTTTCAACCTTTATCCCTAGTCTATTAGCTAACTGTGGGTGAGTCCTTTGACAATAAATTATACAGCAGATTCAGTTGAAGCAAAGAAGCAAAAGTTGGGATTCACATGACCCTCCCTTTGGAGATGCTAAGGGGCCACCCCCAGCCCCCGTAGTCCTTCATAATACGTAACATGTCATCTGGTACAGATTAGACCACGCTTCGACTGATGTTTATAGAGTATTTATTATCTTCCTTCTTAACTCTGACACCGTGAATAACCGGAGTGAAATAAATATTACGATTCGTAAACATACAGTAAGCATATTATCCGTACACATAAATCATCACATCTTCTAATATTATTTACACTGATGTCGAAAAAAATAAATACATAACACAAAGGTTAACAACATATAACATATAACACAACATTATATGCGCCTTCTGGCCAGGTATTTGGGAGATGTTGAGCCTGTTATTATTGCATTAAAGCTCTTGCATAGGTGCTTCAAATACACATGTGCACATTTTTTTGATCAGTTACCTTGATCACATGACTATTGTGCATCGGCCATTCACCGTGATTCAATAATCCAAACAGCAGGTGTCATCATTGTTCAACCATCCATCCATTTTCCAACCCGCTTATCCTACTGGGTTGTGGGGGGTCCGGAGCATATCCCGGAAGCAATGGGCACGAGGCAGGGAACAACCCCGGACAGGAGGCCAGCCCATCGCAGGGCACACACACACCAGTCACACACACATGCACACCTATGGGCAATTTAGGAACTCCAATCAGCCTCAGCATGTCTTTGGACTGTGGGGGGAAACCAGAGTACCTAGAGGAAACCCCACGACAACATGGGGCGAACATGCAAACTCCACACGCATGTAACCCAGGTGGAGACTCGAACCCAGGTCCCAGAGGTTTGAGGGAACAGTGCTAACCACTGCACCACCATGCCACCCCATGTTCAACCATATTCACAAAAAATAGTTATAACACAACTATATAGCCCCCCCTTAATAAACAAACTATTTCTTTAGGAAGGGTATTTCAAAATATAAGAACATTTCCCGTGAGTTACACCTCTCATCACCTCTCATAAATGACCCACTGTTGGAATTTTACCCTTTCACAACAATCATTAAAATCAGCTGGGAAGCTCAGTAAGCTAGCAATGGGGAATTGCTATCTTGTCACATTTGCCCACCTGGTATTAATACACCTAGGGTGGCAATTATTTATAACAACCATGATTAATGCATCTTCAGCCTAGAATTTCCCATGTTTTCTACTTACAGTACATATATTTAAATAATGAACAGCCAAGTAGTTTGCCGCAATTGGTTTTTAATACATATTTATGTAATACATTATCAGGATATTGTTCAAACCACTGACTCAGTTTTAAATTAAATATGAGTTGAATTACATGCATACATGTATCATAACATAGTAGTTCATAGAATGCCAGTTTTCCATAGCTAACAATTTAATTTTGTCCAATCTGTTAGTACTGAATAGCATTATGCAAACATTATTTAATCTATATCCCACAGTGAAATTTGCTTTGGCCCTCCCTACCATGTGGTTTCTGTCAACGTAGATTTTACACAGGAGTATAAATCAGCCTTAAAAGAGCAAAGTGAATCAGGCTATGGCACAGTCTATGCATGGCAAAGGCTACGCAGCTATGAGACTACTATGGCACAGATTCTACACCGAAGTATACATGAGCCTTAATGTACAGGATGACAGCAAGCCTAACTCTGAAAGCACAGAGTGAGTCAGAGTAATGAGAAGGTACAGTAGCTGTATTTCAGAGTACACACTCACAAACACGTACACTCACACATATCAATGGCAACAGTCCAGCTTAATATTTGATGAAAGGAGATGCACACAAACACAGGCAAAAACAAAACCTCCCAAAACACACAGACAGGGAAGGAATCAAACCCACAACTATGAGGCTACAGAACTTGTACTGAACCACAGTGCAATTCACATCAATAGTCTGGAAAATAGGTTACTCTCAAAGGCCAAAAAGGAGCAGAGCGGCCATTGTGTTAGCATTGGCTAAGAGTGGGACACTAACATCTGGTGAGGTGCTGTTGTGTTATCTGGGTTTAAGGGAGCATGCAGTGCTAATTAATATTCTCCATTCATTTATAATGCGCCTCACTATAATGTGAATGTCGGTTCATAAAATATATTCTTATCCGCAAAAGAGGCAAACCACATTTAGTCACATCATCTTGCGGAAGAAACTATGAAACATGGGTTTACCTGTGAGATATTCGGGGTCGGGCACTGGGTCGGACATCTCCTCGTGGCACTGTGCCTCTGTTGGCACGGATGCCACAACCATACCATCTGGGAGTTGCTGCTCAATGCCTCGGGCAAAGTTCTTCTGTCTGAGCAAAGAAAAAGCAACATAAAACTCTGCTTCGGTCTGTAAGAATGACTTAGCAAAAGAAAAATGATTCATCATAATAATTGTAATGATTCATGGGCTCATCTGTCTTTTGTGCGTGTCTAAGTTATTTCTTTTTAACTTGGCTCCTCACAGCTTGTCATCTGCTATCTGCCTCTCCCATGCCAGTCTTTTTAAATTCTCAGCCAGGCCTGAACCAAGAGGTAGTCTGTTCCACTAGTTTGACATTGCTTATCACCTTACTCCTCACTCATCCAAACATGTCACTTTATACCCGATTTTACTGATTATATGTCACTTTCCAGGTCCTGCTTATTTTGATTTGACTCAGTAGAACCCCTTATGTTATGCCAACACGCCTGTCCTTGAGTCCTTCATCCCACAACCCGTGACAGAATGACTGGACTCCATCAATCACATAGCGGGTATCCTTGGGAGCCACTGCGCCTGACCTCCTCCCTGCTGCCAAGTCTCTCTCACATCGGTAGCTGGTGGACAATCCTCTAGTCGACCTACTGAATGAAAGTGAGCTGGAGAACCCCGAGGAGGAGGAAGACCCCAGAGGGTCTTCTGGCGTGCAGGTTGACCTGCCAGTATGGACACCTTATTGGGCTTTCAGCTACAATGAGGACAACATGCCCACGCTGATCCCTCTAGAGCCCCCTGACATGGCCTTGCATGCCACTTCTCTGCTGCATAAAGCAGCTCTGCTTGTTGCTTATTTGCTGCTTGAAGCCCTGCAGCTCACTGCAAATTCACCCACTGGCGCCCCACAGCTTGCCACAGCCTCTCCTGCCATTTCCTACCATTTCTTGCTGCAGAAGGAAGAAGTGGAGGAAGCTAGCAATGCCAGTGGCTGTTGCCCCACCTGACCCGATCCCTCCAGAGTTCTGCCCAGGAGAGGACACTGCCATCCCTCCAGTGCCTGGCCAAAGAGAGGTCGCCAACGTGTCTGCAGTGCCTGGCCCAGCTGAGGCTGCATCCATGCCTCCAAGCACCCGGGCCAGGAGAGGCCTCTTCTATACCCTCAGCATCCGGCCAAGGTGAGGCCACCATTCCGTAAAGGGCCACAACTGCTTCTCCCTCCTGCTGTTTCCCACCACAGGAGAAAAAAGTGGAAAAAATTAGTGGTGCCTGTGGCTGTTGCCACACTGAACCTGGTCCCTCCAGAGTCCTGCCCAGGAGAGGTTGCTGCTGTGCCTTTAGTGCCCAGCCCAGGTGAGGCTGTTGCCACTCCTCCAGTGCCTGGTCCAGGTGAATCTGCCATCACGCCTTCATAGCTCGGCCCAGGTGTGGCTGTCGCTCCACCCGATCTTCCAATGTCTGGTCCAGAAGGGGCCGCATCCGCTTCTCGGGAGTCTTCAGAGTCTGACCCGGAAGAGGCAGCCGCTCTTAATGAGCCTCCAGAACCCAGCCCGTCTTCACCTCTGTTGCACCTTCAGAGCCCATCTTTGGCTTTCTTCACCTCTGCCATGCAGACAGCCCTGCTGTGCGTCGGAAGGAATCCCTCCCGATTCTGGATCAGGCGGTGTTCATGCCTGGCGTCACCGCCGCCTCACCTGAGCAGAAGCCCGAAGCTCGTCTGCTCGCTGCTTCACTGGCAGCTCTCCCATTTCTGGGGACCCGCCAGGCTGTTAAAGGGGCCAGGCCCATTGATGTCCCCAAGTTCCTTAAACGGGCGGTGCCCGCTGCTGAGGTGCGAACCCTGATTCTGCCACCCGAGGTTCCTGTACCAGTGCATGGTTCCTGCTGTGCCCCCTAAGGTTCCTGTGCCGGCGTTTGATGCTCCGCCCCCGAGGTTCCTGTGTCGGCGGTTGATGCTCCACCCCCTTAGGTTACTGTGCCGGCGGTTGATGCTCCGCCCCTTTAGGTTCCTGTGCCGGCGGTTGATGCTCTGATTCCCTGGACCCTCCTCCTGTGCCCCTGACTCCCATGGCCCCAGTCCCTGTCCCCGAGGAGGTCCCTGATCGGCAGACCACTGCTCCTCCCTCCTTAGTAGAGATGGAGGAGGAGCTTGAATGGGACCCCTCAGGGATTACCCTGACTACCCCAGTGACTCCTACTCCACCACCAGCCCAGCATGGCAGATCCCAGCCGGGTCCCCGCCTTTCGGTCTCCCGGAAAGGGAGAGGACACCTGCGCCGGGTTGGGACCCACCCATCCTGCCCCCTGGCTCGCCTTCGGTCCCCCTGGCTTTGGCTCAGCGGTTGTCTGCGTGTCATCCAGCTCTGGCTCAGCAGTCGCCTGCGGTCGCCCTGGTTTCGGCTTGGCAGTCACCTTCGCTTCCATCTGCAGCGCCTCGTCGACCGGCTGCGGTCCCGCCTCCAACAGCTTGTCGGTTGCCTGCGGGTCACCTGGCTCCAACTCGTCAGTCACCTCTGCCTTGGTCGGCTGTGGCTTCAGTTCCCTCCTCCCCTCTGCCAGTGTCCCCTTCACCTTCCTCCTTGCCTCCTCCGCTGGTCCCTTCGCCTTCCTCCTCGCCCTCTTTGGCATTCCCTCCAGCTCCTCCCTCGCGCTCGCCAGGGGTCCCTCCTACTCCAGCCTCGTTTTCGTCTGCTGCCCCTGCGGCTTCCACCTCTTGCCTGCCGGGGTTCCTCCAGCTCCCTGTTTCCCCTCACCCTTTCCCTCCTTGACCCTTGCCATTGTGCCAACCCCATCAAACACCTTTAGAATGAACTACAACAGAGATTGTGAGCCAGGTCTTAATGTCCACCATCAGTACCTGATCTCACAAATGAATCGGCAAAAATTCCTTCAGACACCCCAAAATCTTATGTAAATTCTTCCCAGAAGAGTGACAGCTGTTATAGCTGCAAAGGGGGGAGGGAGTAACTCCATATTGATGCCTATGGATTTAGAAAGTTTCCATTTATAGTATCTATTAGTTATATTAATTTACTTATATATTTATCTCATGTTCATGTATCATTAATGAATCATAATTGATCATTTATTTCAAGCACTTACTGTATTTTTCACTGTCAGTTAATTCTATAAATCTTTGCGAACTACTGAAGGAACAAAACATGAATAACACGAAAAATGAAATACTGAACTCATGTTACTGTAGTTCATCATTAATGAATCGCAATGCATCTTATTGATTTGTACCTCAATAGTTACTAAGTTACTAAGGAACCATATTGTAAAATGTTACCGAAATTGTGCTTCTTTTACCAAGCAAGCATATTCTGTGCTAGTTGATCTCAACACATCAGTTCCACATGGTCCCGTCTGCATGATTGCCTGAACAAATTGCGCTCAGCCTTTCTTTAAATTCTACATGTAACAAGTCATGTCAGCTGCTGCTGTCTAACGGGCAGATTGTTGTGCTGCTTCACTCCTCGAACACCTACTTTATGTGTATCACTCCATCCATAAAGAACAATACCTTGATAATGTTACTATTTTTTTCTAAGCTTTTTCCTTTCTGTGATTTCATGGTGTACTTTTCACATTCCTTGTTTAAAGAAGGGATACTCTCAAAGGTTGTCTCAGGGCACCTGTTTCTCAGCCACCCTAATTATTTGTATACTGTCATGTATTTTGTTTGGTTTCACTTCACTTGTCAGCTCCTATAATGAGAAGGTTTATGGAATCTTTTTCTCTTCTATCTCTCTGAAACTTGTTTCGTCCCATGTGATCAGACCTGTCACGATTTGTCTCCATCTGTCCTGTCATGTTTGGCCAGCAGAGATTGCTGGTCATTCTGTTTCTTTCCTCACCTGTTCTTTGTTATGTATGATTCCTAGTGTCTGTTTGACAGTTAACCGGCCACACCCGTCCCTTATGTTGCTCTAATTGTATGTACTGTCCTTGCCTTACTCCTTTGTCCACCATTGTAGATATTTGTGCTCCTTGTTGGTCCCACTCGTATAATGCATTGTGTTTACCCTACCATTCTCTATATCTAGGTCTGCCCATATACTGTACCTCCTAAGCTGTATCACCTGCCTCTGATTTTGACCCCTCTTGCTCCTTTTTGTTTATTACCCTTTGTGTTAATTTAATCCAAAGCAAATTACAGTAGAGGGGAGGGTTTCAATTTCTTTATGCTCTCTGGTAGTTGAACCCACAACCTTTGCATTAACACAGGAGCATTGTTGAACTACATGAGCTAGGAGCTAAAATATGTAAAGGAGTTATGGGTTTGAGGTCACCTGCATCTATCACAAAGTGCTAGCTACTATTACGGGTACATAAAATAAATAAATAAAACCCCTGTTCCCAAATTCTACTATAACCAGGGGTGCACATAACTGGTACTCATGTACGCTTTCACCTTTAAGAACGATACCTGTGACAATCGACTGTTTGTAAAAGCGTACTTATTTTATGTGCATTTGCGCTGTTATGACAAGACTATACCTTGCATTGTAACCAGTATACCGCAGATGAAGTTGAGTTAGCGTATGAAGATTAAAATACATATTTTGTTTTCATAGCAGCGCAAATGCACATAAAATAAGTATGCATTTGTGCTTTTACAAACAATCGATTGTCGCATGTATCGTTCTTAAAGGCGAATGCATACTTGCGTACCAGTTATGTGCACCTCTGACTATAACATTCTTGTCATGCAGTTAAGTGACTGCCAGAGTAGAAGTGTCTTACCTGAATGTGACCTTTAGGATTTGTCCAGAAGTTAGAGTCTTTGTGTGATTGTTGTAGCCATAAAAAACATCTCCAAATAGAGTTTCATTGGCAGGGATGTCAACTGCCTCACCACAGTCCAGTCCGTCTGTACAAGCCTCTGATAGTGGTTGGCAAGAACGTCCATCCGGTCCCCTCTTATAATCTTCAATACAACTAAAGAACAGGAAAACTATTAGGTTTTCAATAATTTACTATTTCTTAAATGAGGTACTTTACTACCACAGGAACCATTTTCAGAGACAAGAACCTTTTTCAGGAACCAGGGCCCGATTGTTCAAAAAGTTTAGTCTGGATCAGAATAATACGGATTTTTGAAATCCCAGGATCAGGTAATCCATCTTACTTTTGTCCTGGTTTTCCGGAGTAAAATTGGATTGGATTGGATTACCCTGATCCAGATACAAACTTTTCAAGACTACCAAATCAGGATTACCAGTATTTTAAATGGACTACACATCCAAACGTAGGCTGCTAGTTACAGTATGACTGAACAACAGGTAGAATAGTCAGTGTGGGGTCACTTTAAGTGTTGTTATCTGAAGAGTGAAAATGGTACAATAAAATTATGTAAACATCCACTTCTATTTTCAATTTTTTTTAAAGTCAGATCCCCTCACCTGACCAACAGCAAATACGAATGTTATTCAAAAATGCATTGTGAATTTTTTTAACAGTTGTTTTAAGTCATAAAAAGCCTAAATGTCCAATAATAAACATTAAGAAATCATGTAATCTTAGACTACTTGGGACTGGTTTGTCTCTGATGATTGTGTCATTGTTATTAACATGAAGTGATGAATGACAATACACATTAAATGTATTAATTTTGTTTGAAATTAATGGCTGTTTGGGGGATTATTTTATGGGAAAAAAAAATCTCTCTTTTTTTTTTACTTTAGCGTGCCTCGTGTACTTTATCACTGTAATGGCTCAAGTGCAAAATATTAATAAATGTATATAGTGCATAATGCAAATGTCATTTTTTTTTACCAGTTTTAAAGCATTATTACATTTTGTTCCTGAAATCCACCCTGAATCCACCCTCTTTCAGGGATCAGAATAATCCTGATTTTTTTGGATTAAAGTTGTCCCAATCGTACTAAAAAGTTCTTAACAATGCAAACTAAGAGTTTGATCCAGATTGAAACAAAGACTAGACTACGTGATCTAATCCAATTTCAGAATCCATTTTCAAGATTTGATCCAATGCATTATTCAAAATCTGATCACATTACTTTTGAACAACTGGGCCCAGGAACTCTGTCTCCTGTAGTTCCTGAACCTTTTTTAGTCCCTACCCCGGAGTATGAACTTTTCATTCTACAAAGAACTACAGGGAAGGGCTTTGTCAAATGGTTGACTGCAAGCACTAGTAATAACTCGGAAGTTATGAGTAATTGTGGGGAAAAGAGGCTCATGTGTAAGTAGTATCATTATGGCATATTTAGCTTTGTTAGCTAAATATGCTAACAAAGACGAAGTGAGTGAATATTTAGACATTACAATGATCATTTTTCCAATGATGATTTGTGGCTTATCCACCATTTTAGTCTGCCAAGAGCAATTATGATGGAATTGTGTGATGTGATGCATGACCTACAATACAAAATGCTATTTCTGTCCATCTTTAAGTACTGACAACACCTGGATTTTTTTGCTGACTTGGGAACACAGCAATGGGAACTGGCTGACAGATCAGGGATATCCCATCCTATTATTCCTCAAGTAGTGGCTGGTATTAACAGATTGGCAAAACAGTATACAGGGTATGAAATCTCCCTATTGTAGATGTACATTACAGTGAAATTTGCAACAACATTCCTAATATTGTCGGTGCTAATGACTGCACGCACATTGCTTTTGTGAACAAAAAGCAGTTTTATTCCATAAACGTGCAACTCTGCCTCACACCTCTGGGACCAGGGTGTGAGTCTCCAACCTGGCTCCATGTGTGTGGAGTTTGCACGTCCTCCTCATGTCATCATAGGGTAATTTCTGGGTGACAATTGGGTGTTCTCAATGAATGAACCACTGTGAATATATCTAAGTGGGATTTATAACTTGTACGATGTAACTACTGAGTAACTACAAATTGTACCAAACATGTAAGTTGTCTTGTAAAGCATATATTTAGTAAAAGATATTTTTTTGGGCATGGACCGTATATGACTTTGGAACAATTTCTGAGAACAAGGCTAGATCATTCTATGTGTCTGTCCAGGCTGATAATTAACTGAGAGTCTATGTGTATCCTATGTGCAGTTCATTTTGCTTTAGTTATGCTTTTCTATCACTATGGGTTCGTGCATAAGCATGGTCAAGAGTATTTGTAAAATATACACACATTTCTACGCATTCTATAACATTCTATAAAAAATGTGCTTAGGCTAGGAGGTACATGACTTCAAAATTTGTAAAGTTGACAGTTATGTCATGATAGGTCAATGTTATTTTGTTAATTATTTGTTAGTTATATTGGGAGGATCTATCAAGATCAAAATGGGACACAGCATTTTATTTATATGACCCACAACGTGTTTATAATTCATTATTAAATCTGGCCAGCAGATTGATCTTTCATTTTCCATAGAATAAAAAACAATGTAATGTTATTCCGCTAATAAGTGCTTGTGGGCACTGGCAATGGGCACTGGCAATATTAAGCAAAAGTATATCAGTTATCATTCACATTTTCCATTGCAGAAATATGGAGATGCAAGCAAAAAGGTATTCATTAACACATTCATTGTAACTGAATTACAAATAATCCCACCTGCTCAGTTTTTGCTCTACTGCTGCTCTCTCATTTACCAGTACTTCCACGTAACTATTATTCTCAGAGATCCCCTTTGTTGGTATTGTCATAATCACATAATCAATGACAAGCCAACATCAAAATTAAAGCATCATAATAGAGCAGTAAAGTCAACTTGTTGAAGAGTCAACTAGTCCGTGCTACCCCTAGCGTATGCACGGTTTACACACAGAAGTACTTGGATGCACGGTTCATAAATAAGACCCCTGCAACTTTATGGAAGTCACCAACCAATTAATTAACAATTCATATGCAAAACTGAATACATTGTTACATTACTATGGCTGCATTGCAGTCGAGAGTATGCAAAGTTCAATAAATAAACTGATCAAGCAAGAATGACTTTACCAGGACCCACCGATCGCCACAGGAGTAAATTCCAAAAACACCACCACAAAAAAAAACACATTACACTCTTATTGACATGGTAGAGGAAACCTGATGGAGGAGACCTGCTGTTTTCACTTATTTTCATTAAAGCACAGTGAAAAATGTTTCAAGAAAAAAACTGTCACAGTCCAATAATAAAGCCAGGCAGTGAAACAGTAATATGAAGTAATTTGGGAAATGTAACTCAGCGATGGTCCCTGTGGCTAGAGCATATACTCACCCACAGAACATCTGGATGTTGTAAAAGGAGGGATCCTCCTCTAAAGGTGCAACCTGCTGCAGGCATAACTGTTCACAGCCACCGTTGAAGCCATCCGAACAGTCAATTCCGATATGGTGATCATAACAGCCCGAACCATCTTTCATGGGACTTAGACCTGGAGGGCACTGGGGGAATAGATTTTAACAGACTGTGAAAGGTGCTATAAACGTAAAACAAATCTTTTGCACAGAAGTATGGAGCCCATACTTCTGCCCGTAAACAATACTTGCCCCAATAAAAACCTAAGCAGTTTCATATATCATGGTATGAAAACTAAAAATACGACAGGTAATAACAATAGGTATACTGTAAATCTTGCTTCAGCTAACAATTTGGGAACGGTGTGAATCATGATGATCATGTTGCATTTGAGAAATGAATGGCATAGTTTTAGTTGACAGCTTTTTGGTCACATGTTTTTAATATTAGATTAACTCTGCAATGAACTGCTTAGCTAGCTCCCTCCATTAATTAAGGATTTCGCTAATTGGTACAGTCAGCAGATCTGGCTATACAATGAAAGCAAGATTAAGACAAGGATAGAAACAATGGACACAATGTGATCATATGACTATTTCACCCCTGCTTCTTGAGTAGACTGCGACTTCGGCTTTGCATTCTGGGCACCCTCACGCACCTGGAGAGGTACTTAGAGAACTTGTTCTCTAGCTGATCACCAGCTCCTGCAACCCCACCAACTCCTCCCATTGCAGCCGCTGCTCCACCTGTGGCTGCATGCACTCAGCTGTACTTCATGCCAGGGATACAATGGGTTGCCCATGAACTGCCAAGGTTTATACATTGGGCACAATGCTGCCCTGATGCTATGGAAGATGTGGAAGATGGGGGTCTTCGTCCGTGCTTAGATTACTGTGCATTGAATGAGGTAATAACTAAATTAATTTATCCTTTCCTCTGAATTCCATCCACTTTGGAGAAAATTCATACCATCAATATTATTACCAAGGTAAGTTATGCAGTGCCTATAATGTCATCCATATTTGCGTAGAAAATGAATATAAGACCATGTTTGTCCCTGAGTGATCATATCTGACATGAGTGTCTGGCTTTGTGCATCTACAGGAGCATTCTCTTCTTGTAAACCTGGAGAAGTGTGAATTCCACGCTTCCCGACTCACTTTCCTCAGGTTTATACTGATTCCTGCAATGGTCCAGATGGACCCAACTAAGACTGATGTAGTCTCTGGGATTACAACGGCTGATAGGTTTTTCCAGTGTCTACACACAACTTCAGCTACATTGTCAGCCCATTCACAGCCAACATAAGCAGCTCAAGTGGTTCAGGGAGGCTTGCACAGCCTTTGCCTGACTCAAGCAGGCATTCACCCAGGCTCCTATCCTTCATCAACTTGACCCAGAGTTACTATTCATAGTTGAGGTAGATGTGTCCAATGTTGGAGTAGGCACTGTGCTGCTGGTTAGAGGGATCGAAACAATTGTTCTAAGTATTAACCAATCACAAGAATCTTGAGTACATCCCCTCAGTGCGACCATCCTAATCTGGATATTACTTGATTCCTCCGCTCCTACTGCACAATGAACCAGAGGGACTGGTGTCAGTCCCTTCAATGTGCCAAATATGCCCAAAATTCTTTGTTTCACTCCTCTTTATGTCAGACACTCTTTTAGTGCATCCTGGGATATTAACCACCCCTTGACACATGGGAGATCCACTGGATCACTGGTTTTGGATTAATGGTCAAGTATGGGAAGTGGAGCATGTACAGCCCTTCCATGCCGTACGAGGAAAGGCCATCACAAACCATCATCACCAAGCCAGGACAGAAGATATGGCTGTCTACTTACCTTCATTCCCTCAAAGATGCTGTCCCCATGTTTTATTGGTCCCCTTGCTGTCTTACACCAAATCAACCCAATGACATACCAGTTGCAGCTTCTAAAGATTTATAAGATATCCCCAATGTTCCATGTCTTTCTCCTGAAGCATATGTGCTATAGCCTACAGAGTATAAGAGAATAGTGGGCTCCAGTATGGGGGGGGGGGGGAGTTGGTTATGGTCCAGAGGAGCAAAGCTGGGTCTGCACTGCATACATTTTGGACCCATTTTGAGTGCCAGGGGTGTCCGGCCAAATGGACACTGCTGCCATGCCCCCACACACATTCCTCCTCACCAGAATTCTAATTGTAGCTTATCTAAATCAATTATCAGTCTTATTTAACTGGTTTAGCTGGTTTTGTCTGTGGCAGGTATTGATGCCATTGTGCCAGTTCGGAGCATTCATCTCCCCTGCTTTCTCCTGTGTGCTTGTATCTCCTCCTATCTAGTTTTGCATACCTTTTTTCCCAAAACCCAAACCCAATAGTGTGAATACTGTCCTTTCTCTTGGAATAAGCATGTGTCCTGCTGCCCCCTTGTCCGCACATGTGTCTGCCTTACCCTGCACCCTCTGGATAGATTATCTGGCTATTTGACCCCTGCTTCTGGTTTTGACTATGACTTTGGCTTTGAATCCTGGTTGTTAGTTTGCTCTGCTTTTGGATTCCTGGTTCTGAAGAAGTCTAGTTACACATATTACTAGGTAAGTTAACGAATTAAAGATAAAATTAGTTTTATTTATGAGTTTTAAGCGGGACTATATTTCTTATAATAGGCTTGGGGAAAGGAAAGTTTTTCCACATACTCACCACACAGCCGCTGGAATCCAGCTTTCGATCTGAGATGCAGCGGAAGTTCCTGCTACAGCCCCCATTGTCCTTGGAACAATCACGTACTGGACCAAAGGAGTCCAGCAACACCTCAAGGCTATCAAAAGATGAGGAGACCATCAACTCCTCCCTGAGGAATGAAAACAAAGAGGGAGGGAATCATTCCAGCAGGATATCATAAAACTCCATACATCTGTATAATAGTTGGACAAAAAATATTTCAAGCACTTTCTGAAGTTCAAAAGGGTCCACAAAAGTGTCAGGTTGGTGCCCATCCTTCCCTGTCCTAAGCGTTCTTTCCACGTTTGGCTAGCAGGTGTTGCTGGCCATCCTGTTCCCTCTGTCATTGTACTAGTCCCTAGTATGTTTCCCTTGTTTCCTGGGCTACTGCATAGCTCTGTGGGTTGAGTGTGTGGCCTCTGACTATGGGTTTGAGGTTCCCAGTGCTTATTTTCTATTAATTCTGCTAATAAATTTTTGTCCTATGTGTTCCCTGCTTGTGTTCTGCTCTGTTCCATTCTGGTTCTGTCTAATTCTTCTATTCCTAGTGTTTAATTCCCAGTATGTAGGTAATATTCCTAGTTTTTGGTATTAAGTTTTCTAGTTTCTGTGTGTGTTAATGATTAGTTTCACCTGTTGCCCATTTTCTTGCCTGGCTTGTTAATTGTTCTTTTCTGTTGTTTGTTGTCCTGTCCCCTGTGTTGATTAGTTAATTGTTTATGTCCTACACCTGTTCCTTGTTTACGCTAGTTTTTAAGTATTTAAGTGCCTGCCCTGCTCTGTTCCCCAGTGAGTTACATGTCAGTTTTTGCTAGGTTTGTGCTAATGTTACCTCCTAGTTATGGGGGGGGGGTGTTCCACAAAGCAGGATTAAGGGAAAGTCTGACTTATTTCAACAAGTCTGGCTCATTTAAGTGGGAGTTCTATTCCATCAACGTATCTTAAGTGAATCCCCGCTGAGCTACCATGGTAACTTACGCAAGTGAACAAGTCTGCTCCAGACCAGGTTAACTGTCTCGCTTAGTTAAGCGCCGTCTCAAAGAACGTCCAACGTGGGAATATATTCCCAAAAGATCGTTCTGTTGGACAAAATTCTGCGCTCTCACTACTCATTTCATGATACACCAGAGCACGAACTCATCATGTAAGTTATTCTCTGCATAGCATTTAAGGCACTTTTACCAGTAAATCCAGACTAGGCTGAAGAAATAACTAAGGCTGTAGGGTTAAGCATTGTCTGTGAGTTTCTGCAATCTTTCGGCAAGCTCCAAAAATATTCTCGTTTAATTGTTCATGGCCAACTCGCCAATAACCAGAACTGCAAATGTGCAAGGGTGCACACCTGTTGGTGCCTGTACTTTGAAATATCGGTAAGTACACATCTAACTTAATTTCTTACTGTAGCAATAAATGTATTGGTATATATAAATGTATTCTTTAAAAAAATGCTTCTCAATGTTTCTGTATTTATTCAGGTACATTTCACCAAGCACTACAACTAACTGTAAATGCAACTTAGATGGTCAGTTCTGTCTGGACTCTGCACAGGACCATTCGTAAATGTGCAAACTGTTTCAGGGTATGTTTTATTTATGTTGTTCCTTTTATACATCCCAAAATCTTCATATAAATGTGCATATGAATGTTTCATGGCATCATTCGGTTTTCCCTGCTGTACTGAAATAGCACCAAACTGTAGACCAAAAACCAATGTTTGTACCAAATCATGAATTTTGTATAACGTTACACCCCTACAACTTACTGATCATAAAGAACACGTGACTATATTTTAGCTGCAATTTACAAAGAGTGAAATGAATACAAAATACCCCATGCTTAATCCATTGGGCCTTTTGTACAAGACCCCATTCTCTCAAATATGCATCACTTTGTTTAAAAGTGTCTGCTTGATTAATAAGAAAAATGTGGCCTGGGGTGGATTTTTTTTATTTCTTGGGCTTCACCCAAAAAGTTATTTTTGCTACCCATCCTTAGATGCTTCAAAACCTAAACAGCTAGTGAGTAGAGTCAGAAGATCATAGCTAGCCAGCAGGATAGTAGAACATGTTGCTTCAGCATCTTCAAAGTAACAAATTAATCACATATTTAGTGTAGTTTCCAAATACAGTATGTGGTTTCAGTGGTGGTAATCACCACCAATAAATGTAGCCATAATTATAGGTGTTACCAACAAATCCATTCATTTCCTTAAAAATGGCATAATATCCATTTGCCACTTTTACTCGAGTCTTTACATGAAAAGTTAAAATGGCGTTTGCCAGAAATGTGGTGTCTTACCTGACGTCCACCGCATCCTCCATTACGGTCATGTCTGTCTTGCACTTAGCTGAGGGATTGATGGCCAGTTCGGCAGGGGGGATGACGAAACTCTTGCTCAGGGGGAGCCACATGCCCTCCCCAAGAGTGTACGTGAATCTGGCAGCATGCAGACGCAGAGACAGACACTTTCATTGCAGTCTAATGCCATTGACTCTGTTTTGACTTGTAAATTTGAATGTTCGGAATGTTGAATTTCGGAGTGTATTAAAAACAATAAACAATTTTGACCTAATCTGCTTTTTTAAACTTCTACAACCAATGACCTCACAAGAAAACATGTGATGCAGGAACTGCCTTTGCAATCCTTAATTTCAAATTAAAACGTGATTTTTTTTTTTCTGGCAGTGAGAATAAAAAATAAAAAATAGAACAAGACAAAAATATTTAAGTCTACTATTTGATTTAATGCATCTTTAAACATATATTTATATTATCAACACAGTTACCCATACACTTCATCTTTCCAGCCCTCTGAAATAAGCTTGCACACCTTGTGGAAAACAAGCCACTTGTTTCAGCACCTCTTTACAAGCAATACTCCAGTAGGCAAATCTAGGCTTTTCTCCCAGGGGGTGCAATGTGAGAGAGCCGTCCATTAGCTCCATTAGCCATTCATCCACATAAACAAATTTGTTAGAAAAAAATAGTAAATGCATTTTCAATTATAAATTATTACAATACAATTTCAATATAATTTTTAATTTAATTGAATTTAATATTTTCAAATAGCATTTTCATTTGAACAGTAGGGGGTACACCCAAAGTAAAATCGCCTATGAATACTCCAAAATGTTTGTTTAGGAGAATTCTCATGAAAGACATGCCAAAATCACAAACTCCAGTTTTTCAAATCTCTAAAATGTGTGATGAAAAAACTGCATCCATTTCGAAATCTTCAGCATTTCATAGTTCCGCTTCTGCAATATTTTTTTACCCTTCCAGGACTGCTTATGCTCCAGTATAGGATCACAGACCTGAATTTTAATCATCCATCCATCCATCCTTTTTCTATACCTGTTTGTCCAATGCAGGGTTGCAGGGGGTCCAGAGCCTATCCCATACCGGTGCAAAGGCAGGGAATAACCCAAGATGGGGTGCCAAATCCATCACAGTGAATTTTAATAATGTAAAACATCATTTAAAGAGTGTGATGGTAGAACTTTTTTTTTTCATTTAAATGAAAAGGTGAAGGTTTTTAAAAAGCTGCATGTTTGAATATTTGCAACTAATCAGTTTAGATCACTAATTATTATTATTCTGTTATGCAACATAATTAATTATAATAGCAGTCAACGGACCCATGACCCTGTTCGGGATAAACAGATGATGGATTGATAGAATCATTGTCAACCGAGGACTCATTTCTTCTTTGTAATCGGACACCATTTTCCTAATCTGCCTCATGATGAACCTGGGATCATTAAAACTATGTAACTATTATTTGTTTCCAGCTTCGGTTCATAGAGTTCCCTCAAGATCACACACTTGCTTTAACAAATGCATGATTCTGGAGAAGCCAGGTCTTACCTGAAAATGCGGTCGGAGGGCTGCTCTCCCATGACCAGATCAAAGCCCCTCTGGAAAATCGTGTAAGGCCAGGGTCTAGCAAATAGGAGAGAAGATTATGTCTAATCATGCCAAATTATTGTGTACATCACATTAATTTATTTACCAGACACTTTTATCACTTTTATTTTAACCATGGGATTTGAACCGCTGACCTTCTGATCATGGGTACCCATGGTTAGCATGTGATGACATCACTGGGCCACTTAGCAAGGCCCTTAAACCCAATTGCTCCATATACATACACACTTGCTTTTTTTGTATTTAAATGCCCATATCCTCCCTGGGGATCTCTCTTGGGGCACTATTAATCGCCAGCTCATTCCCCCAAATTGTGCTAAGAGGTTCTGTTGGGGATCTTGCCTGTCTGTAGCCATCAGGCACTACAGCATCCCCTCCAGATGTGCCACCTCCACCGTCAGCTGTAACTCATCCCAGGACAGCGTCATCTTTAAACGAGTATAGATACAGCCATGGCCAAAAGTGTTGGCAGTGACACAGTTCGTTGTGTTTCGCAAACTTTGCTGCTTCAGTTTTGTTGTTTTGTTTTTGTGGTGGTGATTGGTGGAGTGATGAGATGCATTTTAATTAATTACAAAGAGCTTCATTAGCATAATTAGTTAACTTTATCACAAAAACCCAGTTTTCACTGTATTTTGACCCTGGCACAAAATGACCAGTTAACATCCTTTCAGTAGAGTCACATCATCAGCACAGGGGATAGTGTGAATGAATACAAGTCAGCTGAAATCACTCTGTCATTCTGATTGAATTATAAGACTAGACTGATTGCTATAAAAAGAGGGCAGAAGTGCTTGAAATCACTGTCTTCTTGTGTTAGCAATGGTTACCTCTTATGAAACGTGCAGCCATCATGGCCTCACATGCAAGGAAATTGCTGCTAAGAATATTGCACCTGAAAGAACCATTTACTGGATCACCAAGAACTTCAGGGTGAGAGGTTCAATTGTGGTGAAGAATGCTTCAGGACATCCAAAAGTGTCCAGCAAGCACCAGGACCAGGGACAGGCTGGTCATCTGGACGTTCTGGAAAAGTCCAGAACGGCCATCCAGCCAATGGCCTGTCTGATTTATCATGGCGATGTGTTGGTCACAAACAAACCACCCATTTGAGGGGGCTCTGTTACATTAACCTCCCGGCTACCATCTGAGAGCCATCTGAGGCAGAGTGTTTGGATGTTCTCCGCAGCACAGACAGACACTCCATACATACACTAATAACTGTGACCAGAGATAAAAAAAAAAAAAAAAGGTAGATGCTACATTTACCGGTTGGACGTGCACCTGCGTGGTTGCCATACTGGGGCAGTCAACACTCAGTCACTGATAGTAAACTGCTTGAAAAATACCACAGGCACGTGCAGCATTTAGATATACAATAAGAAGAAACCTTAAAAACAGGCATTGTGGGATAACTTTTCATAAGTAGCAGTTTTATTGTATTTTACTGATAGTTCGTGGATTTGAATTATCACTTCCCACTATCCTGAAAATTACCTGATAATGTCATAATGATGGCTACCTAATGAAAATTAGCGGGTGAGGAACCAGACGAAGTGCGGCTCATTAAACCCCTTATGAAGAAAAATAACATTGATACACATTTTCCCTCGCATGGATGCGGGTCACCGGGCCCGCCCCCTGGAGCGAGGCCTGGGGGTGGGGCTCGATGGCGAGCGCCTGGTGGCCAGGCCTGCACCCATGGGGCCTGACTGGGCACAGCCGAAGAGGGAGCGTGGGTCACCCCTCCAATGGGCTCACCACCTGTAGGAGTCGAATGGAATGTCACCTCTCTGGCGGGGAAGGAACCTGAGCTGGTGCGTGAGGTTGAGAGGTTCAGACTAGATATAGTCGGGCTCACCTCGATGCACGGCTTGAGCTCTGGAACCAATCTCCTTGAGGGGGGTTGGACCCTCTTCCACTCTGGAGTTGCTCGGGGGAGAGGCGCCGAGCAGGGGTGGGCATATTTATTGCCCCCTGGCTGGGCGCCTGTACATTGGGGTTTACTTCGCCTTCAGGTGGGGGGATGGGTTCTGACTGCTGTTTGCACTTATGCGCCAATGTGAACCCGAGTGGTGTCTTGTTATTGGACTTCTGTGCTCATCACGGATTGTCTATAATGAGCACCATGTTCAAACACAAGGGTGTCCATATGTGGACACCCATGCAACAGGCGGAGTACATGCAAACTCCACACACAAGGGCGGGATTCAAAGCCCACAACCCTGAGCCACTGTGCCATCTCACAATATAATAACATATTATGGAGTGATGAAGAGGTGGATGGATAAATCAAACATTTTCAAGTTGAAAACTATTATTAACATGACATGTCCAGTAGATGGCAGTGTGGCCTCTTGGCCAAGATGTGCCATGTAAACTGCACATACTCTGTATACTTTTTTCAGGGTTCATGGCTATCCAAGAATGATGACTCTGTCAGTCTCTGTAGTCTAAATTCATTAATCGGTCATACATTTCCTCTAATGCATTTGACTATGACTGCTGACAATCAGCCTATGTGTGGTGCTGGTATTCAAATTCTCTTCAAAAATGTATTATAAAATTACCCATATGCACATTTATTAGCCTGTCTTAGCAATGTGCAATTCTGTTGTGCAGGTAAATGCTTTAAAAAATTAAGAGTATAACCAAACATTTACAATTTAACAGTAAACTCTCAAATTCTCAAAATACTTAAGCATGTATTTGAGATAAGCTTAAAAAATATTTTTCTGAGGCCCTTAACCCAGCTGCTAAAAAATTTAATTATAAAAAAAGTATTACATATTATACATTAAATAGTACACACCATGCCCCACATAAAGGTGCTTGCATGCAGTAGTAATCATCATTATCACCAGAACACACACGTGCTATTTCGAAGTCGCTTGTGCATGCAGAAAGGAGAAAACCTGGACACTTCTGAAGCAGTATGTTGACCAATGAGAAGATGGCAATGGAATATTAAAAATGCTTAATAGCAGGCACCACTTCTTGGCAACCAGTATATGAGGTTGCCGGTCTCGTCCAATCATAGAAAAAAGAGGTGTTCACTGTGTAAACACTGTGCTAATCTGGCTAGCTTCTGGCATCCCTTGGAAAGAGCTAGACTTCAAATTCTCTCTCCAGCTGAGCCCGTTCTCTACCCAAATTTTCATATTGCCCAAGCATTCCAGCAGGTATTGCAATTGGAAAAGACACAGTGAAACATACAGGAGAAATGTAAAAATAGTTAAAAGAAAAAACTACTAATGAGACAGAATAAACCAGTCATTACATATATTGTTCATTACCCTGATAGGACTCAATTTTTGTTTCTGAACTGTGTATTATATAGCATATTATAAAAAACACACTGCCTGAAAACAAAAAAAGTTTCCATTTGAATTTATATCAGCAAATACTTAAGAGCCAATAACTTGATCATTATTACAGCTCAGCAATGTTATGCAACAATAAAATAAAGTCAGCTGAGTACCTGAATCTACTGAATGGCCAGGTTACACCTCCATCCATCATCAATGGATTTTTTCTTCCCTGTTGGCATGGGCATATTCCAGAACAAGGATGCCAAGATTCATTGGGTTTGAACTGCCAAAGAGCGGTTCAGGGAGCATGAGAAATCATTTTCAAGCATGACTTGGTCACCACAGAGTTGTGACCTTAGTCTCATTGAAGGTCTTTGGGATGAGCTGAAGGAGGCTTTATGGAGTGTTTCAACTCACTTGTTAATACAGGATCTCAGTGAGAGATGAATGCAAATCTGGATGAAAATAAAGGGTCAGATTTTGCATAAGCTTGTGGAAACAATGCCATGACAAATGTGCGGTCCAACGAAAAATTCAAATGGCGACTTTTTTTTTTGTCTGGGCAGTGTATTTTGAGTAAAGTCTGGATTTCAACTCCATTGTTAGTATATGATGCTCCTTATTCTATCTTGATCATTATATCCATATCTCTTGGGGAATGTGATGAGGGTCCAAGATTCCTTACGAAACTGGTGATGCCCTTTACTTTTAGTAAGTTGCCTCAGGGTCTACAGTAACTGGTGACATATGGATTAGAAACCAATTTATCCCAATGTGGTGAAGATAGGCTTGTTTTTCTGACAGCACACGGGAAAAATCATAGCGAATTGTACGCCACAAGGATATGGGAGGGATATAAGGTTTACCTGGACTCTGTCCTGGTTGCTAAGGCAACAAGAAGATTTCTGTGGCATTAATAGGTAAATGTTTTAAATGGACAAGAAGCAAAATAATATATCCTGGTCCTCACATTATTAATATGCATTTATGATTGCTGGAACTGGACAATGAACAATAAAGGTATCTGAAATCTAAGAGTGCTTGTAAAGCATACATAAGAAGTCACCTGGTACTGTAGCAGTGCATGTGAATGCATAGCTTGCCTTGGTTGTTTTTGTCCTCCTCACTTCTAAGGATAGTCACCTTATGGCTCAGGAATCTTTCTTATCCGAGACACTGTCTGTTTTGTCAATGATGATTCATCTCTGGCAATAACACAAGTACCAGCTTGCGGACGGGACCTTTATGCTTCTCAGAACATGTTGCTACATGTTTGGAGGAAAGTTACAGACACAGCAAACCTTTGCAGTATGATGTTTTGTTTTGCTGGTGAAGATGTGGCATAACAAAGAGGGCTGCTTACCCCTGATTGGGTCCCCACTCATTACGAATACAAAGGTGCTTATGGACGGGGTCCTTCATGTAGCCATCAAAGCAAAGGCATTCGCCTAGACAAAAAGCCAAACAAACAGCAGATAGCACTGTTATTTTGTTTCCGGCTATTATCTTGAAGTCACCATGACGTTACATGCTTTAGCATTAGCAGACCAAACACAGTCAGTATGCTTGTCCTGAGCTCTGAGAGGAGAGAGAGAAGATCAAATGAACATGGAATATTGAGATATATAACACACACGCACATGCACGCACGCACACACACACACACACACACAGGTTTGTAATCATATCGTTGTGGGGACTCTCCATTGATTTCTATGGGGAAAAGTTTAATCTCAACATGACGACCGTAACCCCTACCCAGCCCTAACCTTATGCCAAACAATATGCCAAACAAAATACAAGACTGCTGGCGTTTTAATTATTATTATTTGATTGCATTCACAGATATTTGTGGGGACCTGAAAAATGGACCTCACAACATCAAAATAACAGGTTTTTATTGCATTGTGGGGAACATTTGTTATAATATAACATAATACACCCACACGCACACACACACAGACCTGTACTGGTATTAGGGGGTGGCATGGTGGTGCAGTGGTTAGCCACCTCTAGAACCTGGGTTCGAGTCTCCACCAGGGTTCCATTTGTGTGAAGTTTGCATGTTCTTCCTTGTGTCATTGTGTGGTTTTCTCTGGGTACTCCAGTTTTCCCCCACAGTACAAAAACATGCTAATTGGATAATTAGGCTTGCCAAATTGCCAATAGGTATGCGTGGGTGAGTGAATGGTGTGTGAGTGTGCCCTGTGATGGGTTAGCACCCCATCCTGGGTTGTTCCCTGCCTTATGCCCTGTGATGGGCTAGCACCCCATCCTGGGTTGTTCCCTGCCTTGTGCCCTGTGATGGGTTGGCACCCCATCCTGGGTTATTCCCTGCCTTGTGCCCTGTGATGGGTTAGCACCCCATCCTGGGTTGTTCCCTGCCTTATGCCCATAGCCTCCGGGATAGGCTCCAGACCCCATGCGACCCTGAACAAAATAAGCAGTTTCAGAAAATGGATGGATGGAATGTAATATAAACACAATCCACCCCCACACACACACAGGTGGAGTAGTGCTGTCACCTCAGTCCAGCGGGGTTTGAGATTCACATTCCTCTGCCACCTCATACTTGCAGTGTGGAGGGTATAAATCTCACATCCTCCTCATACCTGCAGATTTTGGGGGTTTGAATCCTTGCTCATGTGGTAAATTTGCATTTTCTGACCATATTATGTGAAGTAGCCCATGTTTCTTTCTACAGTCCAAAGATGTAGTCAGGTAAAACAGTGTTTCTAGTGTGTCATGTACCGTATCTTCCGCACTATAACGTGCACTGCATTATAAGGCGCACCGTCAGTCAGTGGTCTATTTTCAAACTTTTTCCACATACAAGGCGCACCGGACGTTAAGGCGCTTTAAGCAAAACAAAACAGTCAGATAAGCCAGTCAACCAAAATTTATTTTACATCACGTGTTCACAATGACTGTCAACATTGTTCAGACGTTTATGAGCGTCTTCACTACGTAAAAAAACAAGAGTCTTATACCGCTAAATCAAAAGTCAGCCTATTAACAATAACTCAAAATCGAACACTTACTGTATAATACGGTCCTATACCGCTAAATCAAAAGTCAGCGTATTCATAATAACTCTTGAAATTGTTAATTTATAACCCTGTCCAGAATGTTCCTCATACCATGTACCCCTGGCAAATGCCCTGTGTATCCCCATCTGGGCCCTTCCACTGACTGCATGGTTAAAAGCAGGATGTTTCTGTCTCACCTCCTTACTCTCCCCCTTCCAATTTAGACGTGACACAATCACTGAGGAGAATTCAGAATTTTCCCCAAAAAGGAAATTAATATCTGGTATATTTTGAATTGTTTGAATCCTAAGCTTTTCTACTTGTCTGAAGGGGAAATTAACCTGCCAAATTCCATCTACCACTACCCATAATTTAATCTGAAAACTGCAGATAGTAAGATTAAAAAATCATCATGAAGGTTTGTTACAATAAACCAGAGGCATTGAAACATTAAGTTATTAACTAATATAAAAATGTATGATTTACAAAACATATATTGCCACCTCACATTTATTTTATTCAAAATTATCTTGGGCTGAATTCCTTAGGTAATCTAGCAGCCATAACAAAGATTCCAAATCTAATAAACAGCTTTTGACATGTGTGCCAAACTGTTATTCTGATTAGCTAAAATTGCCAGTAACTGGTTGGTTATTGGTCCTCCTAGCAATTGAGTAATATTTTAAATGCATTCTGTATCCATTCTCTCAGAGCTGATAATAAATCTGAAATACATCGTACAGTGCATGTTCCTTGATGCATATCCATGGAAACAAGCAGAGAGACCTTGGAAGAACGTTAATATAGTTTTTTTTTGGTGGTGCTGGATACATACTTACAATGTCCATGCATTCATCAATCCATCCATCCATGCATCCATCCATCCATCCATCCATCCATAACTGCTTAGCCAGTGCAGGTTCTCAGGGAACCTAGTGCCTATTTCAGGTAGTGCAGGGGTCAGCCTGGACCGATTGCTCAGCCATCACAGGGTAATATTTATGATACACAGAAGTTAAATTGTTTAATTATCAAATTTATAATTATTTAAACACCAAAACAGTATTGTTTTATTAATTTGCTTTCTATGGTTTTCTTAGGCAAGTCTTTGGTAATAGTTCACAATTTATAATTTGCAAAAGTTTCAAAATCCATTCCTGGGTGTACCCTACTCACTGAGCTGCCGGGCACAGACCCCATGCAGCCCTGACAATACTGGAAGATGGATGGACAGATGGATGGATGGATGGATGGACAGATGGATGTAGTGAAATGTAAAATCAATACTATTCTATCTGCGGGGGGGGGGGGGGGGGGTTGGTCGGTTAGAGGTTTAGGCATAACTCGGCTTTTGTTTTTTCTGTGTACAAAAGCCTCCCACACGCATTCACTGATAAAACCCGCATAGAGTTGTTTTTGAGTAGACAGATAAGGGCAGACAGCAAGACATTAATCTGCCTGTTAAAAAAAAGGCTGCAAAAGACAATCACTTAGAAACAAAGACACCGCTCTTGATTTTGGCTGCTGTATATGGGGGGAGGTGGTTTGGAAAAAGCGAAGCGGCTGAAAACCTGCTGAGTTGGATAAAGGGGAGGCGAAGGTCACCAAGTTACCAAGGCCCCTGAGTGCACTAAAGCCTCATGGGGGGGGGGGGGGGTACTGAGTATTCACACTAATACTAATGATACTCAACAAGCTAGGTTTATGTTTTTAGGACAGGGGGTCTCCAGACCTTTTTGGAATTGCCCAGAGTTAGTCCTGTAATTCTATGTCTCATTCTCTATATGTAAAACTACCGCTGCCACATGAAACAATGTTTAAGTCAAATTTTCTTTGGTTGCCTAAGACTTTTGAATATTACTGCATATAATACATAGGCTGTGCATTTTTCATTTATATTTTTACACATTTTCAAACTCTGTGCCTTGTTTTGGTTTTTCAGACTGCATTGCATTATCTTAGCTCTGTCTATCCCCAAAGAAGGTTTTATAAATAAACCTCAACTCCCTGCCAAGTTCCTGTATCATGATTCTGGCTGTTGTCCCAACCTGGGATGTTCTCACATAGTGGTTTACCTAAGTTTCTCTTAGAGCCAGTTTGTGGGGAATGGATGAGAAAAACAGCAACACGATAATTCTTTTTAGTTAATTAGGGTCACTTTGAATTTGAATGTGTGGTTTCTCTCTTGTCCCTTGTCCGCTGTGGCAACAGCCTCCCATGGTTAAAGAAAACACCATTCCCTCATTGTCTTTGTTTTACTTTGACAATGAAAGCAACATGCAACACTGCTAGTCTCTGTAGCACTTAAGCTAGAAAAACATCTTGGATATAGCTGTCCATTTGCTTAAAGACAGTATGAGTGAATTCATAGAACATTGTGAGGTTTACAAGATATGTTCCTCTCTGTGCCTCTCATGTAATATTAAAGATTTTAAAGATTTATTTACCATCCATATATTATTGACATATTTAAAATGTAAATATCTTAATAATTAACATTATTATGCATGAATATTGTACTTATAAAATAATCACAGATTGGAAACAGAAAATATAAAACTTTGAATGCTGAATTCGGTCTAGTTTGTTAAATTCAAAAAAACAAAATTAAGTTCCCTGTCCAATATCACATCCCAGGTCTGCCACAAACTGAACGATTTGCATGTTTTTGCATTAAAGATTCTCACTCACTGCGACACTGTAAATGAGAACTTAATTTATTCTGGCTTGCTGGTGATGATTATGACAATAGCTTGTCGGAAGTTGACTGACTCTTAACAACTGGAGTAGGGACTTGCCCTGTTAAGGGAGGCAGGTGCTTGTGAATGAAAAGAATAATGAATACTTTAAAAGAGATAATAACTAGCTCAAGTTCCAGTGGGGATTTTTTGTATCACTTCAGCCTCAGGGCCTCGGAAACCTCCAGCAGAGGGCAGTGATAAAGATCAGCTCTGTTCCCTCACGCTACATCAGTGCCCTGCAATCTGTGGTATGATGAATACAGGGCACAGTCAATTCATGGTAAAGAAGGCAGGCAAATATACCAAAAAGACGCCCCTCAGAAATCAAGAGGACATGGTGAAAAGATCTGTCAAATATCTGGACGCTTTTGGGATTTGACTTCAATCTGATATGCCCTATTTAATTAGGATACGAAAACACCTCATATTACTACCCACAAGAGGAGAAGAAATTTTGTTTTCTATTCAAACTTGTGCACGCAAGAAATGAATGGGAGCTTTGTTGGCCTGTTTTTTTTCTGTATGATGATGAGAAACACCACAGCCTGTCAAGGGATGAGGTTAGGTGACAAGACTACCAATGTTATTCAACGAAATGCTACTTCATTCAGACATGCAGGAAGCTCCAAAAAATGCATGGAAAAGCAATATGTAAAAACCACGCTCAGGCAGCTGTTCTAGCAAAGCAATACTATGCAGGCTTTTTGCAATACTGCAGGATGTACTTTCGTCTTCAAAAACAGTCATTCCTGACATGGACTATATTGCAAACACCCACAGGTAGCTTCATTCTCTTATTAATAAAGACAAATTTTAATTCAGAATTTGACTCCTTTTTTCTTCAGTTAATACCACTATTACTATCATGAAGTGACCCCTTTCTATTCTATGTAATTTACAACTATACTTGTCTAGTGTCTGCACTGACTTGCTTATTTTGGAAGAAGTGTCTGACACATAAAGCACAAATATTAATGTATACAGTAGTTCTCAGACAAACTTTATCTATCTCCCCCAATCACAAGAAACAGAGTGACTAATTTCTGAAGCACTGAAGCAGATGTATACCTGTCTCTGGGTCACACTGGTGCTCGCAGGGGTCTAGCAGGCGACGGCCACACAGTTCATTAACCCAAGGCCCGCTGGCGTTTTGTTGGTAAAAGAGCAGCACCTGAGCAGGGTTCAGCCAGTCACTGGCATCCAGCTGGCTGCCATGCAGCAGAATGAACCGTGACCCTGGGGGAAGGATCATGTATTCAGCCTTAATAAGAATTACAATTGCTACTAGGGACTTCATCTTTTAGTGGGCCAGTGTGTGGGGTTCAGCCGGCTCTTACCGTCGGCGATGAGGTGCTCTGGCACGTGCAGGATGACACGCACGTTGATGCTGCAGGACAGGTGTGAGGAGTATACCAGGCTGATGACGCAGCTGATGATGCTGATCAGTGTCAGGGTTGTCTTGTTGATGGGGCTTCGTGGGGAGCCTACTGGACAAGGGAGAGACAAAGAGAACCAAAGAGCCATGGCTGTGATGGAGTGAATGAAACACATAACTGAAAATGAAAATGTTTGCACATCGCTGTGTGCATCAGTCGCCTTTTGGAAAACAACACTCACACACACACACACACTCACTGACCTGCACCAGTCACTATGTGTAGCATTGGTCTGCTAATTACCTCATCCTACTCATAGTCTACCTCATAATGACTCTTGTCTGTTCAAGGCTGCTCTTTTTATCATACTTATAAGCTCTATTTGCACTATATGTCTGGTCTGCACTTTCTGCCATGTGCCTTTACTTGTATATTGTACTTATTCATATTTTCTTATTTGTATTTTTAAAAAAATCTTATTTATTTATTTTTTAATTTAATGTTTTCTGTTATCTACCAAGGGTTTTAGAGTAACGTAATTTCAATTCTCTGTGTGTTCTGTACATGTGGCAAAATTGGCAATAAAGCTGACTTTCACTTTGACTTAATAGAACAGAAGAGAATGTTGTTACTGTCACTGTACACAGCAGGCACAACAAAATGCAACTCCAAAAAAATGAGCAGACGGAAATATTGTCATGGACCAGACTGGGGGAACCCGTCAACGTCATTCAGAAATCCTCCTCCATTCTCATTGGGGAAAAAAAACGCTTGGGAACCCCCTGTTCAGCCCACACCCTAGATCAAAGGTGATTTCAATTTGCAGCCACACCCATTTAGCAGCTGTAGTTTTCTTTGATTGTTGCTCTATTTAAGCTCCTGAGGTATGTCGGGGGAAACTCAAGATCTTCTCAGTTTGAGCAGTTCCCTGTGCAGCTATACCATGTAATATTTTTTTTTTGTTCCTGGGTACTAAGTATTATTTCCTAATTGCTTTTGACTGAAAGGTATAGAAAATGACTATTAATCCCCATAAACTTTGCTTTTGTGACCAGAACAGTGATATTTTGAAATTCACCTAATTCCAGTGAGAAAATTAGTGAATTTGTCAGTTAGAAAAAACAACATATGAAAAAAATATATATATTACATTAACATATCTTGTGATTCCCCAGGAAGCCCTGAACCACTGCAACCAAGCCGTTCCAAGCCAGGGGTTGATTGGTTGGTTAAATAACTCAATGAGGTATAGATTAGCCAAATGTGGTGTGCTAGTGGTCAAGTCAAAAAATACATTGGTATATTGGACATTTGCTGCAAAGACTGAGGTGACTTTAGGAGAGGTTTCGAAATAACTTTAACAGATGTAATATAATAGTTTAACATCAATATGAACATCATTTAAACGTCATTTTCTTCGATGGCCTAAAACATCAGCATAGTATTGTATAAAATATACAATTTAAAGAATGACTGTAAAGGTCTAAAGTGACATTTCCCTCCAGGTATGAAAAACAAATTGCACAGTAACTGACTGATTTTAAACGGAATGTTGGGTTAAATAATTAATGTAGAAGTTTCCAGTAATTTGGATATCTTCCACCTTCATCCACATTCTGCTGATAAAAAGGCAGTTGGAAGGATGATGGATGGATGGATGGATGGATGGATAAATTATTGAGGCAAAAAGCATCATCAATGTTTATTACACTGGCTTTGGTCAGATGCCTGCTCTCATCAAGTAATCTTGATTTCTTTCTGTAAGGTCTTGTTTTTTGAGCAAAATAAATAGACAAAAACTCCACCAGGTAGATAAAAATAAGAAGGATACGCCGGACCCGGATATGTGGCACCGATGTCAGATGGCTGAGTGAAGTCAGGTGACAGGCACACTCCTTCACTTATACCAAGTGTAACTAGTTGCTGCTGAAACGATAACAATGTATTTCCCAGACAGCCCCATTGGCCTCTCCCCCCTCTCCCTGCTTCAATCTTGGTGCAATTTGTCTCAAAATGAAACAGGTCTCAGATTATCACCTATGCCAGGGTTCTTCAGTTCTGGTCCTGGAGGGCCAGAATCCCGCACAGTTTGCAGATTTTCCTGTTCAAACACGTCATAATCAGCTATTAACTAGGTTTAGTAGGTTTGTCTGAGCAGGGAAATATACAAACAGTGTTGAATTCTGGCCCTCTAGGATCAGAACTGGGGAAGTCCGACCTATGTAAACTCCATGGAAGTTTGAAAAAGATCCATGAAATACTTTTATACTGTAGCTACTGTGTTCACAAGATCAAGTGTCTTCTGCAGCTGCCCTTTCCATCCTTTGCTGGCACCTAGTGCTTCTGTTTCAACTTTGGTACGATTTGTCTCAAAATAAGTTATCACACTAACAACAAGTAATGTCTACAGTGGTGGACAGGTCCCAAAAGCATATGTAATACAAACTGCATTAGAAACAAAATGTGGAAAAAATGATACAGTATAAACTCTTCAATCTAACAGCACTATAGTTACTAGTACAAGATATCCACCTTCAAACGGAAACAGGTGACAGTGATTAATTGTCATTGTTGTCACCATAGCATACAACAACAAAACATGTCCTCTGCATTTAACCCATATGTAACAGCAGTGGACATCTATTATTTAGCACCTGGGGAGCAATGCATGGGGGCAGTACCTTGCTCAGAGTACCTCAGTGGGGCCAGGAATTCAACCCAGCAACCTTTCAGTGACAAGTGTGCATCCCTAACCATGAGGCCACCACTGCCTATCACTGGGTGTGATAGATTAATATCAGCCGAAGAATGACACAAGAGTATTTATCTAGGCTGGGCAGGTTTACTGGAAGCTATATAGAACAAGGCCTCTTAAGCCTATTAAGACAAGCAACCAGAGTCACCTTATGCTCCTCTAGAGTCTCATCATCCCCTTTCAATGATGACCTGTGTGAAAGGTCAGGCATGAAATGACTGCATGAATGTCTTTGATGTTAATGTTAAGACATCCTGCAGTCGTACATAATAAATGAAGTAAATTATAATATAATATAATATAATATAATATAATATAATTTAATCAAGGGTGTCATGAAAAGGAGAAAGTTACGATGATTCCAGTAGCTCCTGAGTGACAGGGACTATGAAAATTCTAGAGCATAATTGGATTGATCTGGGTTGGGGGCCCAATATAACATGCTTTCATCCCTCCATCCATCCATCCATCCATCCCTGAAACCACTTTTCTTATTCAGGGTCATGGGTGCAGAGCCTATTCCAGAGGCTATGGGCAGAAGGCAGGGAACAACCCCGGATATGATATGTAGACACACACACACACACTTTGGTAACTCCAACTAGCCTCAACATGTTTTCGGACTGTGGGGGGAAACTGGAGTACCTGGAGGAAACCCCAGGACGACACGGGGAGAACATGCCAGCTCCACATATGGAGCCCTGCTAGAGGGTTATACTCAGGTCCCACAGGTGTAAGGCATCAGCGCTAACCACTGCACCACCATGCCATCCCCGTAACATGCTGTCATGGGGTCTAAAATCTTCAGCAATCCTGTATATAATCATTTGCCAAATGAAGTGTGGATATCTGCTGTTAGTTCTGGTGACATAGTGTTAATTTAGTTTGGCGTTTTAGTACTAATAATAGGGATGTCAAGTGCCAGAGTACTCCAGGGTGAGGGGCTTCAGCCATACCGCTGTGCCCTGTGATGAACTGAAACGATAGTTTATTTGCCATTTGTACAAGGTACATCACAATTCTTTTGTTTTCACATATCCCACCTTTCTCTCCTTTATGATATAAACACAAACACAGGTAAGTGAAGCTTGGGGACTGAAAGCATGAACAGCCATTTATCCAGCAACGTCTCTGGAGGTTATGGGCCTCGCTCCAGTGCCCAGTGAGGATGTGACTGGCTTTCCACTCGGATGTGCAGTCCTAATACCTGAGGCCTGACCGGGACAAGTTGCTGGACAAGAGAAACAAATAATTTGGTGTTTGGTTTGCAATTTTGTAATTGAGGTTCTGTTATTTTATGTAGACAGTATTGTTTAAAAGTGTTTTAATGGCATACATGGCCTTCAATATGAAGAACGTTAATATCAATATTTATAATGGGTGCCTATTTTGCAGTAACAGCTGCATCCCATCTGAGAATGTTAAAATGGGCTCCATATTTAATGTGACCCTGTGGTGCAGTGTATCGGCTGGTAACGCTTCTCTGTGGTGGCCCTACATGCCAAAAAAACATCAGTCTGACCAATCATCTAATCCAACACCTTGGGAACTCAATCCGGAAGCCTGATTCTTGCCCCCACCCCTCCCTCGCATGCATTATGCTGGCACTAACAGGCCATATTACATTGTCATTTAGCATATCTCTTATAACTCTAATAAAATGAGCTTACTTAGCGACGAGGTGGGTAAACAGAGCAGGGATTTAATTAAGTGGGGGCAAAAATGCATGTCTTTCCTCGCTGTCTTATACCCCATTTACACTGAAACCAGCTTATTGATGCTATTTTACCATTATGGCTTTGTGTGAGAATGGGACAAAGCGGCAAAGTCTACCCATTAATCTATCCCCTGACAACCTAGTAACATTTGCGGTGGCTATCTGACAGGGCTGCAGGGTGAATGCGACACAGTAACAGATTACCATGTTTGAGAAGGGTTGTGGGGGGGGGGGCTTCTTGCCCTTTATTCACTACATTGATATCAGTTGGAAGTATACGACACCTGTTACTCAATTCCCACAATAAAACCACTAAGTTAGACTGTCACAGATACAGACTGTTGTTACGTGGTTGAGTGGAGCACCGGAGAGGGGATAAACTTAGCAACCCTCCTAGAAGAAAAGAGTCATAACTGTATAACTGAAAAATAACTAGCCTAAATTAGCTCATATACTGTATTTGATTGTTTATCTCCATTGACAGAGAGAGAACATGCCATCAATAAACTGTAATTAAGAAATATATGTACGATGATAGTCTGATGTCAGCATTTTTTCAGTAGCCACTGGAGGTGTTCTGCAAAATCTGCCGACCCAGGGAGATGGGGGCTCTCTGTGAATAGTTTTGCTTTATCATCT